TGATGCTGGTGGTGGCGGCGGAAAACGGAAGCAGCGGGCCGCGGCATTGATGCGTGCGATAGGAGCCCAAAGACGCAGCAGCAGCAGCAACAGCAGCAGCAGCAACAGCAGCAGCAGCAGCAGCAGCAGCAGCAGCAGCAGCAGCAACAGCAGCTCGGAGCATCGCTACTACCACTTGCCGCCTCTCGACCCAGAGACTCTGCGTTTGCTGCAGTTTGTTGAGGACGATGAACCTGCTGCTGCTGATGGTGATGCAGCAGCAGCAGCAGCAGCAGCAACAGAAGCAGAGCATGCAGATATAGAAGCAGCAGCACCAGATATTGATGCCCGGCAGCAGCAACAGCAGCACAGCAGCAGCAGCAGCAGCAGCAGCAGCAACGCTGCACCCTCGGGCAGGCGGCGTAGAAGCTTCAGTAGCAGCACTAGTTTCAGTAGCAGCAGCAGCAGCAGCAGCAGCAGCAGCAGCAGCAGCAGCAGCAGCAGCAGGTTTGATAGTTGTCAGATGTATCAGGGCCCAGCGCAAACAGCAGCAGCAGCAGCCCCAGCAGCAGCAGCTGCAACAGCAGCACCGTCTGCTGCAGCAAGTAGGCGATCTACTGCAGCAGCAACAGCAGCAGAAGCAGCAGCAGCAACAGCAGCAGAAACAGCAGCAGCAGCAGCAGCATCATCATACCCCCTGCCAAGCCCAGGCCATCGTTCTTCTCCTTTCTTTCACCACCACCCCCAGCACCCCCAGCAGCAGCAGCAACAGCAGCAACAGCAGCAGCAGCAGCAGCAGCAGCAGGTTCGTGCTGCAGCAAGAGACAGAGACCGCAGCACCTTCGGCAGCAGACAAGAGAGATGGACAGCAGCAGAAATGTTTGCCGTTAATGAGCGGCTGTTTGGGGTGACCTCAACATACACCCCAGATGTATACACAACACCTCTCTACAAATCACAGCAGCAGCAGCAGCAGCAGCAGCAGCAGCAGCAGCAGAGGGAGCAGCAGCAGCAGAGGGAGCAGCAGCAGCAGAGGGAACAGAAGGAGGAGAAGGAGCACAAAGGACAGCA